CTTAGGATAATGACCTCCAGCTGCATCCATATTGCTGCAAATGACATGATTTCATTCCTTTTTATGGCTCTTTCCTTCACTTTAGAGACTGGTCAAAATCTCCTCTTTGGCCACAATCCCAGGACCCCCTACCCACTCCACATCCGGATTATTGTGGGCTCTGACCACACACCTGACCTTTCTTCCCAGGTGAGCCTGGCCACCCTTGACTCCGAGGCCCTGCTGACCTTGGGTCTGAACCTCTCACACCTGGGCCAGGCCAAGCGCATCCTGGAGCTCCGGCCGGCCCTGGAGGGTCTGGAGGGCCGGGTCCGCTACGTCATTGCCCGCGGAAATGAGCAAGGTTTCTTCCGCATGCGTCACCTCCGTGGCTTCAGCTCCCTGCAGCTGGGGCGGAGGCGGCCGAGGCCTGGAACCTACCAGCTGGAGGTGGTGAGCAACGTGGCAGGACCCTGGGGTGTCCAGCCAGAGGGGCAGCCAGGGCCACGGGGCCAGGCCTTGAGGCTGAAGGTGCAGCTGCAGTTGCTTTAGTTGGAGGAGCCTCAATGGGCCTCAGCTGTCCAGAGAAGGGGGCTTCTGGAACTGGGAAGGACTGATCCCCAGCAGTGACAGCTGATCAGGTGGAACCCCGAAACTCAGGAAGAGTGAAATGCTACACGTCAACCTCAGGCGAGCCCAGCCTCTGCCCGGGCCACTGTGCCAGCCCTGGGGGACCCCCAATTACTCAGTCTTTCCTGGAGACAAGAAGAAGCTGCAATGTGCACTCCCTGCCCCACAGCCAAGGTCAGGAAGAGGCCCTGTGGTGACCGTGTCTGGTCAATCTCAGGCTTTCACTTCTGTACTGCACTGTGGCTTGCCCTGGGGGGAGGAGGGTTGGCGGGACATGGCAGTGGGCAACTGGGGTGGGCACAGGGCTTATCCCTCGGAGCAGAAGGGTGTGCAGGGGGCCCAGACCCCACGTGACTTGCCGCATTTGCCCTCCATTTGGAGAATGCTTTTATATCAAAGTGGAGACGATAATAAAGTTATTTTGGGTTAAGTCTGCCTGCCCGTTGGCAAGTTCTTGAAGTAAGCAGATCCTGCCCTCGGGCTGGGCGAGGCAGATCTCGTGCCTGGGGAAGCAGAAGGCCTTGTGGGCTCCCCAGACTGGTAATAACGACTCATGCTTCCTGATCAGGTACTGCATACCAGACACCATTCCAATTTTTTTTTTATTTTTTCTGAGACAGGGTCTTGCTCTGTTGCCTAGGTTGGAGTGCAGTGGCGCGATGCTGGCTCACTGTGGTCACCGCTTCCCAGGCTTAAGCAGTCCTCCCACCTCAGCCTCTCCCAAGTAGCTGGGAGCAAGGGTGAACGCCACGACACCCAGCTAATTTTTTAAAATTTCTTTTTCTTTCTCTTTCTTTTTGAGACAGAGTCTTACCCTGTCACCCAGGCCGGACTACAGTGGCACAGTCTTGGCTCACTGCAACCTCCACCTCCCGAGTTCAAATGATTCTTGTGCCTCAGCCTGCCAAGTAGCTGGGACTACTGGTGTGTGCCACCATACCTGGCTAATTTGTGTATTTTTAGTAGAGATGGGGTTTCACCATGTTGTCCAGGCTTGTCTCAAACTCCTGAGCTCACATGATCCTCCTGCTTCAGCCTCCCAAAGTGCTGGGATTACAGGCGTGAGCCACCACACCTGGCCTAAAATTTATTTTTCTTAGAGATGGGGGTCTCCCAGCCAGGCACAGTGGTTCACGCCTATAATCCCAGCACTTTGGGAGGCTGAGGCAGGCAGATCACGAGGTCAGGAGATCGAGACCATCCTGGCTAACATGGTGAAACCCTGTCTCTACTAAAAATACAAAAAATTAATTGGGCGTGGTGGCGGGCACCTGTAGTCCCAGCTACTCGGGAGCCTGAGGCAGGAGAATGGTGTGAACCCAGGAGGCGGAGCTTGCAGTGAGCCGAGATCGTGCCACTGTGCTCCAGCCTGGGCGACAGAGCGAGACTCCGTCTCAAAAAGAAAAACAAAAAAAATAGAGATAGGGGTGTCTCTATATTGCCCAGGCTTGTCTTGAGCTCCTGGGCTCAAGTGATCTTACTGCCATGGCCTCCCAAAGTGCTGGAATTGCAGGCGTGAGTGTCTAAGTATTTTAGGATGATTGACTACTTTGGTTGCCACTACAACCTCACGGGATAGATGCTATTACCATCCCCGTTCTACAGGGAAAACTGAGGCTTGGAGAAGTTAAACACCTTGGCCAAGGTCAGGCCAGGTTGAAAGTTGGGTGACCTGGTGGGGCGCGGTGGCTCACACCTGTAATCCCAGCACTTTGGGAGGCCGAGGTGGGCAGATCACCTGAGGTCAGGAGTTTGAGACCAGCCTGGCCAACATGGTGAAACCCTGCCTCTACTGGAAAAAAAAAAAAAAAAAAGCCACGCGTGGTGGTGGGCACCTGTAATCCCAGCTACTCAGGAGGCTGAAGCAGGAGAATCACTTGAACCCAGGAGGTGGAGGTTGCAGTGAGCCGAGATCATGCCACTGCACTCCAGCCTGGGCAACACAGCAAGACTCCACTAAAGGAAAAAAAAAGGAGGAGGGAAGGGGAGGAAGTTGGGCAGCCAGGCGCAGTGGCTCATGCCTAAAACCCCAGTGCTTTGAGAGGCCGAGGTGGGTGGATCACTTGACGTCAGGAGTTCAAGACCAGCCTGGCCAACTTGGTGAAACTCCATCTCTACTAAAAATACAAAAATTAGCCAGGGTTGGTGGTGCATGCCTGTCATACCAGTTACTCAGGAGACTGAGGCAGGAGAATCTCTTGAAACTGGAAAGTGGAGGTTGCAGTGAGCGGAGATTGTGCTATTGCACTCCAACCTGGGTGACACAGGGAGACTCTGTCTCAAAAAAAAAAAAAAAAAAAAAAAAGGTGGGCATGTTCCCGGGCCATCAGCCCCCACACTACCCTTCCTGGTTCCAAGGGGACTCCAATTCAATGGCCAGGATACTCACTGTGTTAATAAATACACAGCATGTACTGTGTGCTGTACGTGTTACACATCACAGTGTATTTGGTCTCCAACAAAGCGCTATGAGGCAGGCAGTATTATCACCCCCATTTTCCAGGGGGGCAAAATTGAGGCTGAGAGAGCTTGTGGAACTTGTCTGGATCACCCACATAGTGCGCGGTGGAGCCTGAACACTGAACGTGACTCCATTTCTTCTGCAACTTCATCCCAGTCCCTGACCCCAAACCACCAGGGTGTCCCCTAAGAGATGATGTGCTTGGTTTTCCTTTTTTTTTGAAACAGACTCTCGCTCTGTCACCCTGGTGTGCAGTGGTACGATCTCGGCTCACTGCAAGCTCTGCCTCCCGGATTCAAACAATTCTCCTGCCTCAGCCTCCCAAGCAGCTGGGATTACAGGCACCCGCCACCACGCCTGGTTAATTTTTGCATTTTTAGTAGAGACGGGGTTTCACCATATTGGCCAGGTGGGCCTTGAACTCCTGACCTCAGGTGATCCACCCGTCTAGGCCTCCCAAAGTGCTGGGATGACAGATGTGAGCCACTGTGCCCAGCCAATGTGCATTGGTTTTCATCCAGATCATTCTCTGTTGTGATGGAAACTCAGGTTGCCAAGGACCGAAGACAGCATCATCGGGTAGTGACTCAGGCCTCCACCTGCAGAATTGTCACTAGCGCCTGGCACCAGACCTCTGCCCTTGGTCCAGTCCTGGCCCGCCTGACTTACCAGTGGCCTCCAGGCAGCCCATAAGAGCTTGCAGAGGGCTTCTGTGTCCATCAGCTGGACTCACCATAGCCCTGGACTCTAAGCAGAGCAAGCACAGTGACCCTTATTCTACAGACAAGCTGAGAGGTACCAGAGAGTGACCAACTGTTTCAAGGTCACCAGCTGGGAAGTACAATTTGCAGCCAGCGGCTACTGCTTGGCCCCTCAAGAACTGTCTGTTAGGAGAGCTTGGGATGGCAAAGATCGCATTGGCTTCACCCCAGGGTGGGGCAGCAGCAACTTGCACCTCATCATGAAACATAACAGGCAGGAATGACTCCATCACTCCCCGAGGTTTATTTAAAAGTTATAAGGAAAGCATAACCTGGGAGGGGCATCCTTGAACTGACTAGAGTTTTGCAGGGACCCAGAGGGACACACTGGGATGGCTCAGGGTGGGCGGCAAGAAACAGCAAGTGAGAGAGGTATCCTAAGTCTTCTCTACAAGAGACACTGGCCGCCCAGGGTTGACGCTGGTCCCTGGAGCAGCAAAAGGCTTAAAATTAGGTCAACTCTCTCTTTCCAGTTGCCAGAGGGACAGGAGGTGGTGGGGGTGGAGAGGGAGGACCAACCCAGGTGCAGGGATTAAGACTTGACCCGAAAAACAGAGGCGTGGGGACAGCTGGGTCTGTAGGGCAATGGTTTTAGCGGAGAAAGACCTGGCCCCTCCTGTGCCGATGGATCCCAGAAATGAGCCGGCTCACAGTCCTGCAGAAGCAATTAGGCCGAAGTGAAATTGATGGCTGTGAAATAATAGTAACTATATGCATTGGTCTCTACCTCCAGTCCCTAGCACACAGCTCCTAAAACCCTTATGAGTTTCTGAGTAATAGGAGTGCTAGAATCTTTTGTGCTGATTTTTTTTTTTTTTTTTTTTTTTTGAGACAGAGTCTCGCTCTGTTGCCAGGCTGGAGTACAGTGGTGCAATCTCGGCTCACTGCAACCTCCGCCTCCCAGGTTCAAGTGATTCTCCTGCCTCAGCCTCCCAAGTAGCTGCAACTACAGGTGCCCGCCACCATGCCCAGCCAATTTTTGTATTTTTAGTAGAGACGGGGTTTCACCATGTTAGCCAGGATGGTCTTGATCTCTTGACCTCGTGATCTGCCTGCCTCAGCCTCCCAAAGTGCTGAGATTACAGGCGTGAGCCACTGCGCCCGGCCTTTTATGCTAGTATTTGGTCTTTGAATTCTGTTTCTGACACAGAGTTCTGGATTCCTTGGAGTTTCCTGGGTAATGGGGACATCTTTTATTCTAATGAGGTGACTCTTGGTGGGCTTCTGGGTGGGGGCTGGTCACCAGCAAGACCAAGCTGTTGATCAGAAACTAGGAGCTTTCAGTCCCATTCTCCTGGAAGGGGAAGAAGGTTGGAAATGGAGTTAATCATCCTTCACTCCTATGTGATGAAGCCTCTAAAGAAACCCCTGGTTGGCCAGGCACAGTGGCTCACGCCTGTCATCCCAGAACTTTAGGAGGCCAAGGCAGGCGGATCACAAGGTCAGGAGTTTGAGACCAGCCTGGCCAACATAGTGAAACGCCGTCTCTACTAAAAATACAAAAAAAAAAAATTCCCTGGTGAAGGCCAGGCGCAGTGTCTCACGCCTGTCATCCCAGCACTTTGGGCAGCTGAGGTGGGTGGATCACCTGAGGTCAGGAGATTGAGACCATCGTGGCTAACATGGTAAAACCTGGTCTCTACTAAAAATACAAAAAATTAGCCAGGCGTGGTGGCACGCACTTGTAGTCCCAGCTACTTGGGAGGCTGAGGTAGAAGAATCGCTTGAACCCGGTAGGTGGAGGTTGTGGTGAGCCGAGATCATGCCGCTGCACTCCAGCCTGGGCAACAGAGTGACATTCCATCTCAAAAAACAAACAAAAGTCCGGGCGTGGTGGCTCAAGCCTGTAATCCCAGCACTTTGGGAGGCCGAGATGGGCGGATCACGAGGTCAGGAGATCGAGACCATCCTGGCTAACACGGTGAAACCCCGTCTCTACTAAAAAATACAAAAAACTAGCCGGACGAGGTGGCAGGCGCCTGTAGTCCCACCTACTCGGGAGGCTGAGGCAGGAGAATGGTGGGAACGCGGGAGGTGGAGCTTGCAGTGAGCTGAGATCCGGCCACAGCACTCCAGCCTGGGCGACAGAGCGAGACTCCATCTCAAAAAAAAAAAACAAAAACAAAAAACAAACAAAAAAAATCCCTGGTAAGCTGAGGGTACTGGCCTGTAGTCTCAGCTACGTGGGGGGCTGAGACAGTGAGCTATGTGGTCCAAGCTACTCAATGAGGCAGTGAGCTATGACTGTGCCACTGCACTTCAGCCTGGCAGAGAGAATGAGACCTCATCTCTAAAAACAAAAAGCCTGAACTATGGGGTTCAGGGTCTTGTGACCACATCCACGTGTGTGGGATGGGTGGTGTACCCCAACTCCATGGGGACAGAAGCTCCTGCACTTGAGTTCTTCCAGTCTTTGCCTACCTAAGCATCTCTTCCATCTGGCTTATTCATCCCTATCCTTTGTAATATCTTTCTTTTTTTTTTTTTTTTTTTTGAGACGGGCTCTCATTTTGTCTCCTAGGCTGAAGTTCCAGTGGTATGATCATAGCTCACTGCAACCTCTACCTCCTAGGCTCAAGTGATCCTCTCACCTCAGCCTCCCAAGCAGCTGGAGCTACAGGTGCATGCCATCACAACTAGCTAATTAAAACAAAAATTTTTTTTTCTTGAGACAGGGTCCTGCTATGTTTCCCAGGCTGGTCTCAAACTCCTTGGCTCAATTAATCCTTCTGCCTCAGCCTTTCAAAGTGCTAGGATTACAGGCGTGAACCACCATGCTCAGTCCCTTTGTAATCTTTTACAATAAAATGGTAAACATAAGTAGAGCGTTTCCCTGAGCCTGTGAGCTATTCTAGCAAATGATCCAAGCAGAGGTGCAAGCCCTGACTTACAGCCAATCAGTCAGAAATACAGGTGACAACTTGCTACTTGCAATCAGCATCTGAAATAGGGGCAGTCTTGTGGGACTGAGTCCTTAACCTGTGGGTTGTGTCACTACCTCCAGATAGACGATGTCAGCTGGACGCAGTGGCTCATGCCTGCAATCCCAGCACTTTGGGAGGCCGAGGTGGGAGAATTGCTTGAAGCCAGAAATTCGAGACCAGCCTAAGCAACATGACGAAACCCCATCTCTACTAAATATATGAAAATTAGCCAGGCGTGGTGATACACAGCCGGTAATCCCAGCTACTTGGGTGGCTGAGGCACGAGAATCGCCTGAACCCTGGAGGTGGAGGTTGCAGTGAGCCGAGATGGCACCACTGCACTCCAGCCTCAGCAACAGAGAGAGACCCTGTCATAAAATATATATATTTTTTGTATATATATTTTATATATTATATATTTATATGTTATATATTTTATACATTATATATTTACATATATTTATATATAATATATATTATTATTTTATTATATATTTATTTTATTATATATCGTATTATATATAATTATTATATAACTTATGTAATATAATAATTATATTTTATATATAATATAATTAAATATATTAATTGTATATTTATATAATATATAAATATGTATTATGCTATATATTATATTATATATATCATGTCCATAATATATATTATATATAATATATAGTATGTAATTTGTTTTATTATATTTATAGTTTATATATAAATTTATATATATATTGTATAGAGAGAGACAATGTCAGAATTCAATAGAATCACAGCACACCCACCTGGTTCCTGCTGGAGAATTGTTGGGTTTGGGGGGCCCTGGAGCTCTTGGGCCACTCCCCTGGGGCTTCACTTTCGCACTTTAGTGTCTTTGGGCTGGGTCACGGCAGTGGACAGCCACCGAGGACCCTCCCCTGTGAACGTGCAGCGCTGACCACACAACCACCCCTCTTTGGTCCTGGAGGTGAATCTCCTGTCCCAGCGTGAGCCAATCATGACCCCTCAACCCTCAGCAAAGGTGAGGGATGGGAGACGGTCACATGACCAAGAGTCCTTACCTGAATTAGCTGATGTCAGGAGGGAGGCATTCCTCTTGCTGCTGTTGATGGGGTTGCTAAACTTAGACGATGGTAGTTTGGAGTTTGCAGAACTCAACTTCTTTGCAGCATGAGGGCCTGCTGGAGAAATGGAGAGAGAAATAAGCAAGAGCTCTGCCGTCATCCTTTGAGCTCCTGGATCCAGCTGAGCCTGAAGCTGTTGACTGGTTATTTAAGCCAGTGAGTCTCCCATGTGCTTGAGCTTTCCATCTGCACCAATGGAAAGTGTCCTGATGAAAAGAGCTGGACTGGCTGGGTGCAGTGGCTCATGCCTATAGTCCCAGCACTTTGGGAGGCCAAGGCAGGTGGATTGCTTGAGTCTAGGGGTTCAAGTCCAGCTTTGGCAACATGGCACAACCTGTCTCTGCAAAATGAAAATAAAAAATTACTCAGGCATGGTGGTCTGTGCCTGTCATCCCAGCTACTTGGGAGGCTGAGGTGGGAGGATTGCTTGAGCCCAGGAACACAAGGCTGCAGTGAGCTGTGATTGTGCCACTACACTCCAGCCTGGGTGGCAAGAGTAAAACCCTGTCTCAAAATAATAACAATAATAATAACAATAACAATGAGCTGCGGCCGGGCATGATGGTTCATGCCTATAATCCCAGTACTTTGGGAGGCCAAGGTGGGCAGATCATCTGAGGTCAGGAGTTCGAGACCAGCCTGGCCAACATGGTGAAATCCCCTCTCTACTAAAAATACAAAAATTAGCCAGGCATGGTGGCATGAGCCTGTGCTCCTGCTACTCAGGAGGCTGAGGCAGGAGAATCACTTGAATTCGGGAGGCAGAGGTTGCAGTGAGCCGAGATCGCGCCACTGCACTCCAGCCTGGATGACAGAGCAAGACTCCATCTCAAAAAATAAAAATTAAAAAAAAATAATAATGAGCTGGATTAGTGGAGCATGCCTGTAGTCCCAGCTACTCAGGAGGCTGAGGTAGGAGGACTGCTTGAGCCTGGGAGGTCAAGGCTGTAGTGAGCTGTAATGGCACCACTGCACTCCAACCTGGGTGACACAGTAAGACTCTGTCTCAAAATAATAATAATTAAAAAGCTGGACTGGTGGCACACACCTGTAATCCCACCTACTTTGGGAGGCTGAAGTGAGAGAATTGCTTGAGCCCATGAGTTCGAGGCTGCAGTGAGCTATGATCATGCTACTGCACTCCAGGCAGGGCAACAGAGCAAGACCCCATCTCCAAAAACAAAAACTGAACAATGACTCAATAAGTTGGTCATTCACTTGGTGCCCCACTCACCAGCAACTGGCTTTGTGTGGGGTTCAGGCAGGTGTCAGTGTTCTGGTCTCCAATTCCCTCCTTCGGGGTCTGAGCCACACATGGGCTTGCAGGCAGGGAGGGCAGGCTCCCTAGATGCCCAGTGGGGGTCTTGCTCACCTTGGAAGGTCTGCGTATTGTGGCGGAACTTTGCAAAAATCTTATTGCGAGCATCCAGGAGCTTCATGGCTCTCTGCACCTCCTTGTTCTTGGGGTTCCCACACACCTTCCTGTGTCTCTTGGGGAGGTAGAATCTGTGGTGAGCAGAGGGGGGTGCCCAGGTTAGGGTGTAGGCTGGGAGCAAGGCTGTGTGTGCACCTCACCGTGCCAGCCCCCATGGCCCCACTCACATTGCAGCAGGCAGATTGCAGCTCCCGCTCACCTCCTGGATCCGATAAGTCCAGGCGTGCCGGAGCACAGCCCACCCAATGGGGTAGTGGTAGGCCAGGCAGCAGTCCTCAAAGACACCTGCAACCACACAGCCACCCAGACACTCGCAGCCTTGCCTGTGAACTTGGCGGGGCCAGCCACAGACAAGGGCACCTGTCTGCATACCTGTCTGCTCATACCACAACCCTTCTAGGCCCGCCAGAGGCTGAGGAACAGCCTTAGGAAAAGAAAGCCTCCTGGCTCACCCCTTACCCCTGGATATTGGGACAGCCAGAAGTTGGAGAGGACCCTTGGGTCCCAGCTGGGAAGGGTGTGGAACCAGCAAATGAACGGACCAAGGCCACCTCTACTCCTGCTCTGGGAAAAAGAGTGACTCAGAGTGCAGGTGCACCCTGAGGAGGGGCCAACACCACCCCTCCCCAGCCAAGTTCTACCCTCCTAAAAATGAGCTGATTGGAGCCTCAGCATGGTGGCTCATGCCTATAAACCCAGCACACTGGGAGGCCGAGGTGGGCAGATCGCTTGAGGTCAGGAGTTCGAGACCAACCTGGAAAACATGGTGAAACTCCGTCTCTACTAAAAATACAAAAATTGGCCAGGTGCAGTGGCTCACGCCTGTAATCTTAGCACTTTGGGAGGCCAAGGAGGGTGGATCACCTGAGGTCAGGAGTTCGAGACCAGCCCAGCCAACATGGTGAAACCCCGTCTCTACTAAAAAATACAAAAATTAGCTGGGTATGGTGGCGGGCACCTTTTTTTTTTTTTTGGAGTCTCACTCTGTTGCCCAGGCTGGAGTGCAGTGGCGCGATCTCAGCTCACTGCAACCTCCACCTCCTGGGTTCAAGCGATTCTCCTGCCTCAGCCTCCTGAGTAGCTGGGATTACAGGTGCCCGCCACTACGACCAGCTAATTTTTGTATTTTTAGTAGAGACGGAATTTCACCATGTTGACCAGGATGGTCTTGATCTCTTGACCTGGTGATCCACTCGCCTTGGCCTCTCAAAGTGCTGGGATTACAGGCATGAGCCACTGTGCCCTGCTGATGGTGGGGGCTTTTAATCCCAGCTACTCCAGAGGCTGAGGCAGGAGAATCACTTGGACCCAGGAGATGGAGATTGCAGTGAGCCGAGTTCGAGCCATTGCACTCTAGCCTGGGCGACAATAGCAAAATTCCGTCTCAATAAAACAAAACAAAACACCAAACAAACAAACAAACAAAAGTGTTAATACAAAGTATGGAGCTCTCAGTAAATGCCAATTGTCTAGACAAGCAGAAATGAAACCCACAGATGAATTAGACCTAGTGTTGTCTTCGGGGAGCTCCAGGGAAATTGATCTCTGCAGAGAGGAGGAAGCACAGGCACTGGGCGGGGGGGTGCCCAGAGGAGGAGGTGATGCTGCCAGAAAGTTCTGGGGGGATGAGCAGGTGGAATGAATGAGCTGAGGATGAGCTGATGAGATGGTGGTGGAAGCTGGGGCACAATTCTCTGTCCAAATGGCCTTTGGAGTTCTCTGCAATCCCACCTCTGCCAGAACTAACCTCCAGAGGTCAAGTCTGAGTCCCTACAGAGCCCAGCCCAGCAGGAGCAGGGAGAGGGAGGACTCAAGCCCTCCAGGTATCTCCCAACCTCGGCCTCTGAGGGCAAGGGGCAGCGCGTTCCGTTGGAACCTCGAGCTGCAGTGCCAGGCAGGTAGTTCCCAAGGCTGGGGGCCAGGATCAAAGGGCCGGGCTGGGCCTGGCTCTGATAGCAAAACAATCAGACCACAGCCCAACCCCCTTCCCGGGCAAAGGCTAAGGACTTGGACCCATCAGACCCAGCCGAGGGCCAGGTGGGGCAGGTGGGGGCAGACAGGACAGGAGGGTGGAGTCCTGGGTCTGCCACGAAGCCAGGGACCCTGCTTTGGCCAGCTGCTGAAACTCAGAGGATGTAGGATCCAATGTCAGGGCTCCCGTGGGGACACCCCAGGCTCAGGAACTGTCCTTTGGCAACTGAAATCCTCAAGTGCCTGCTCTGTGGTAGGGACTGGGGGAAGAAGGAGAGTTCCCTATTAATAACAGGAACAGTTATTATTGCTGCCGCCAGACACCAGGCCTAGTCTTTTGCAGGCATGAGCTCACTGGACCCTCAAGTCAGAGCCATGCAGTGTGAATTTTAGATTCCCACTTTGCAGCTGAGGAAAGGGAGACTCCTAAAGTTCAGGAAGCCGGGCGCAGTGGCTCACGCCTGTAATTCTAGCACTTTGGGAGGCTCAGGCGGGTGGATCACCTGAGATCAGGAGATCGAGACTACTCTGGCCAACATAGTGAAACCCCATCTCTACTAAAAATACAAAAATTAGCCAGGCATGGTAGTACGTGCCTGTAGTCCCAGCTACTTGGGAGACTGAGGCAGAAGAATTGCTTGAACCCAGGAGGCAGAGGTTGCAATGAGCCAAGATCGCACCACTGCACTCCAGCCAGGGCGACAGAGTGAGACTCTGTCTCAAAAAAAAAAAAAAAAAAAAAAAAAAGGTTTAGGAACAACTAACTCTCAGCTGGACTGCATGGAGGGACTAGGATGGGAATCCACTCCTGTCAGTCTCCAGGGCCCTGATCTCCAGCCCCACCCCTGGCTTGGCAGGATTAGGGTTCTACAATATATCACTGGCAGTAACTGGCTTCGCCCACAGCTGGAAGCCACCATGTGCTCCCTCATGTCTTTAGGAGTCTTGCGAAGGACTCCATGGGGCTCTTGAAGAAGGAACTGGGGACACTCCATCTCCCCAACCCCATCCCAGGAGCTACCCAAACGCCAGGAGTTCCTGCATGTCAGGAGCAGGAGAATTCAGTGGAGATGGGGTTGGGGAGACTTCTGGAAGAGATAAGAGACAAAAGGTGGGGTGGGGGCACGGGGAGATGGGCACTTGGGGGTAGGCATTGCCGAACACGGTACCTTGGGTGTGGACAGTGGGGGCCCAGGCTCCCAGGAAGCCGGCCACCAGGCAAGCCAGGAGCCACAGGTTCATGCTGCAGGCGGGTCCTCCCTGGGCACCTGGACAAATAACCGGGCCACCTGGGGTCCTGGAGAGAAGTGGAGAGGACTGAGGAAGAGGAAGGGAGTGGGTACTGGGAACACCCCCGTCTTAAGCGCCAGGCATATGGCAAGGGAAGGAGGTCGCATAAAATGGGAACAAGCCGTGCTGGAGGGACAAGCTGGTCATCTGAGTCATGTTCAAGGAAAAGACTCACCGATATCCACTGGGTCAAGGGAGCTGATGCCCACCAGGCTGTATGCCAAGCTCTTCCATCTGCAGGACCAAGACGCTGAGCTTCACTCTTTATAGACAGAGCCCCACCCAGCCACCCCCTGCCTGCCCTCCTCCCTTCCTCCTCCTCCACACCTGCACTCTCAGCCTCTGGAATTCTCCCTCCTCTACAGCAAGCTCCGACCTCGACTCACAGGCCCCCTTGCCTCCCCACTCCCCATCCCAGGCTTGCCAGCCAGCACCCCTACTGTCTCCAGAAAGGGCCCTTTTTCCCCTGTTTCCCTCACCTGCACACACCTGGTGGACGCTGGCTGCCTGCAAACAAGGCTCAGACTGCCTTGAACCCCCAAAGCAAGCCCTTACCTTCATGCTTCCCCCACCCTCAAGCTACCTGTTCCCTGGTGGGTCCCTGACTTTCCCTCTCCTTCCACACCAGAGTTAGGTAACTTAGCACGTCACAGAAATCCTCTGGTTGTGACCACAGGCAAATCCATAGAAACAGAAAGTAAATTATCGGTGGCCATAGGATGGGGGAAGGGGAGAATGAAGGAGTGACTTCGAGAGGGTATGAGTTTCAGAACAAAAGTTCTGAAATTAGATGCGAGTGATGGTTACATAACTCTATGAATATAGTCAGCACGGCACAAGGGTGCACTTCCCACCGGTGAACAATCCCAACAAGAAATGAACTCTCTAGGCCAGGCATGGTGGCTCAGGTCTGTAATCCCAACACTTTGGGAGGCCAAGGCCAGAGGATCACTTGAGCCCAGGAGCTCAAGACCAGCCCCGGCAACGGAGAGAGACCTGCGTCATTATAAAAAAGTTTCTAAAAATTAACCCGACGTGGTAGTGCATACCTGTAGTCCCAGCTACTGAGTAGGCTGAGGTGGGAGGATTGCTTGAACCCAGGAGGTTGAGGCTACAGTGAGCTGTGATCATGCCACTGCACTCCAGCCTGGGCAACACAGCAAGACCCTGTCTCTCAAAAAATGAAAAAAACAGTGACCGGGCACAATGGCTCACACCTGTAATCTCAGCACTTTGGGAGGCCAAAGCAGGCGGATCCGCTGAGGTGAGGAGTTTGAGACCAGCCTGGCCAACATGGCAAAACCCCATCTCTACTAAAATTACAAAAATTACCTGAGCGTGGTGGCAGGCACCTGCAATTCCAGCTACTCAGGAGGCTGAGGCAGGAGAATCGCTTGAACCCGGGAGGCAGAGGTTGCAGCGAGCCAAGATTGCACCACTGCATTCCAGCCTGGGCAACAAGAGTGAAACTCTGTCTCAAAAAAAAAAAAAAAAAAAAAGAACAAAAAAATGGAAGGAATGTTTTGTTTTTGGAAGAAAAACCAGGAGCCCCAGGTAGCCATGCCCTCAGGAAGCAAAGCAAAATTCACTGAGAAGGCATGTCTTCTTTCCCTGGGTCAGCAAGACCCACTCAGGACACAGGGACTAGGGGAGACACGAGGTGAAGATTAGGGAGGGCGAAAGGAGCGCTGCAGAGGCCGCAGAGCTGATTGCTTCAAACTTTTTATCGCCTGCATCCATAGCTACATCTGACCTCTGTGGGTGTTTATCACACCCTGAACTGCTTTCTCATTTCTCCCCTTCCACTGGGAGCCCAGAGGCGGCGGTCCCTAGCCTACTTCCCTGTCCCAAACTACAAGGCCGGGTGGGTGGGGCTTAGAGCTGGGGCCGGGTCTGGTGGGTGTGGCTTCTATCCGGGGACGTGACTAGATAGATAAATGACACATAGAGCCCAGGGGCAGGGCTTGGTGGGCGTGGTTTATGGCTATGGGCGGGGCTTGCCATATAGCTCAGAATGAGGGGCAGGGCAGAGTGAGTGGGATTTAAAACAGTGGGCGGAGCCTAACATATGGCGCTTATGGCAAGGGGCCGGGCTTTGTAGGAGGGGCTTAGACTAGGGCGGGGCCTGCATGGTCAGCAGCTACGACGCGCCGGTGGCAGGTGCTCTCACCCGTCCCGTTGCTGCGACCGGAGGCAGCCCCCGGGCCCAGGCGCTGCTCCAGTTCCTCTGCCTCTTGCTCTGGGTGGGTGAGGCTGGACCAGGACGCGGCTCCGCGTGGCTGCGAGCGTGGGGAAGCGGCGTGGCGGGCCCGGCCCAGGCTCTCCGCTACGGCCCACTGCCCCCTACCTTCCCAGCCCGCGGGCAGCGGCCAAGACGGTGTTACCCAGGCTTGGGGGAGGTCCCCTACGTGTGAGTCTCCCTCCCTGCCTCACCCCTCACCGTTTGTCCTGCCGGCAGCCTTCACGGGGAGAAGGGGTTCCCAGCAAGGGGGCCCTCCATGGGCCAGCATGCAAGGTGCACTGGGGTGGGCGCTCTGGGGACCCGGGACCCAGTGGTTGGAGCAAGAGACGGGATGATCCGGTAGTCGAGGCCCCGAGTTAAAACCCGGAGTTCTGAGGACCACAGTTGCTGTGAATGAAGGCCAGACCTTCACATTCGGGGCTGGACTAGGCTCTTCCATTCCTGCAGCTGCTGGAGGGCATTAAGAGTAATCCGCTATCGGCTGGGAGCAGTGGCTCACACCTGTAATCCCAGCACTTTGGGAGGCCGAGGCAGCAGAATCACTTGAACCCGGGAGGTGGAAGTTGCTGTGAGCCGAGATCTTGCCATTGTACTCCAGCCTGGGTGACAAGAGCTAAACTCCATCTCAAAAAAAAAAAAAAAAAGAGAAATCCATTATCAGCAGGAGTCCTCTTCTCCACCAGTGTGAAATCGGCACAGCTGGGGGAACAACTGCCCCCCAACATCGACTTCTGTTCTGCATCTCTGATGATGGGAGCAGTTGAGGGTGGTCTCCATCCTGTAGCTCAGATAAATTCAGAGACTAATATCCCAGAGCCTGCAGGGTTGGGCGGGCAGGCAGGTGTCTTTCTAGACAAGCCCAGTCGGTTGCAGTGGCCAGGTGGTGGGCAGGGGCGATGAGATGTTCTGGGAAGCCTGCACCAGCCACCACCATCTCTGCCCCACCCAGTGGCAGGCACCTCTAGTGGGATGTAGGATGTTCCTGGGTGCTCACCATTGGCCCAACTGTACAGAGGAGGAGACTGAGAGTCAGAGAAGCCAAGTTATTTACTTTTTTTGTTGGCCAGGAAAATCTAATTTTTATTTCTTAAGTACTGTGAAGAAAAGAACAGTCCCCCAGTGGGGAAGCGCCATAGAGCAGATGCCTGGGAGGTCATTGACAAAGGCGCAGGGGCACTGGGAGAACTGGCAGAAGTGGCGGTCCTCCTGTAGTCACTTTTGCATATCAGACCCCAGCTGCCTGCAGCTCTCCTGAACTCTGGTGCCTCCAGGTCCCTGATGAGACTCTTGGCTTCTGATGAGCCCCCACTGCCCTGCATGGTCACGAGTCTTGTAAGAACCCCATCTGCCAGGCCTGGACTCCTGTTGTGCCCAGCTGCCTCCCTTTTTTTTTTTTTTTTTTTTTAGACAGAGTCTTCCTCTGTTTTCCAGGCTGGAGTGCAGTGGCATGATCTTGGCTCACTGCAACCTCCACCTTCTGAGTTCAAGGGATTCTCCTGCCTCAGCCTCCCAAGTAGCTGGGACTACAGGCGCCCACCACCATGCCTGGCTAATTTTTGTATTTTTAGTAGAGACCATGTTTCACTGTGTTGCCCAGGCTGGTCTCGAACTCCTGACCTCAAGTGACCTGCCTGCCTTGGCCTCCCAAAGTGTTGGGATTGCAGGCTTGAGCCACCATGCCCAGCCTCCAGTTACCTCTTTTTTTTAAGAGAATTTGGTTATTTGAAAGATCTTTCTTCTTTTTTATGTAGGCATTTATTTATTGCTATAAACTTCGCTCTTAGAACCACTTTTGCTGCATTCATTGGTTTAGGTATATTGTATGTCCATTTCGGTTTGTCTCATGTTTTTTGTTGTTGTTGTTTCTGTTTTGTTTTGTTTTTAGAGACAGATCTCCCTCTATCACCCAGGCTGAGTGCAGTAGCATAATCATAGCTCACTGCAGCTTCCAACTCAAGTGTTCCTCCCACCTTAGCCTCCCAAATAACTGGGACTACAGGTGAGCATCACCATGCCTGGCTAATTATTTTTATTTTTTGTACAGATGGCGGGGAGGTCTCACTATGTTGCCCAGGCTGGTCTTGAACTCCTGGCCTCTGGTGATCCTCCTGCCTCAGCCACCAAAGTGTTGGGATTACAGGCGTGACCCACTGTACCCGGACTCAAGATATTTTTTAATTTCCCTTTTAATTTCTTCTTTGACCCATTGGTTGTGTAGGAGAGTGTTATTTTCTCACGTGTGAATTTTCCAGAATTCCTCCTATGAGTGATTTCTAGTTTCGTATCACTGTGGTCAGAAAAGAAAGATTGATATAATTGCAATCTTACTTTTTTTTTTTTCTTTTTTGAGACGGAATCTCACTCTGTCACCCAGGCTGGAGTGAAATGGCAAACACTAGGCTCACTGCAAGCTCCGCCTCCTGGGTTCACACCATTCTCCTGCCTCAGCCTCCCAAGTAGCTGAGACTATTGGTGCCCACCACCACACCTGGCTAATTTTTTGTATTTTTAGTGGAGACGGGGTTTCACCGTGTTAGCCAGGATGGTCTTGATCTCCTGACCTCGTGATCTGCCTGCCTCGGCCTTGCAAAGTGCTGGGATTACAGGTGTGAGCCACCGCGCCCCATAATCTTACATTTGTTTAGGCTTGCTTTGTGGTCTAACATGGTCTATCCTGCAGTATGTCCTCTGTGCACTTGAGGAGAATGTGTTCCACTGCTGTCAAATGGAATGTTCTACATAAGTCATTAGTTCCATTTGATCTACAGTGTATTTCAAATCCAATGTTTCCTTACTGATTTTCTGCCTGGATCTGTTCATTGCTTTTTTTTTTTTTTTTTTTAAGACAGAGTCTCAGTCTGTCACCCAGGCTGGAGTACAGTGATGTTGTTATGGCTCACTGCAGCCTTGAACTCCTGGGCTCCAGCAATCCTCCCACCTCAGCCTTCCAAATAGCTGAAACTACAGAGATGCACCACCACACCCCACGAATATATTTTTTTAATTTTGTGGAGATGGAGTCTTGCTATGTTGCCCAGGCTGGTGTTTTTTTGTTGTTGTTGTTGTTGAAAGTGCAGTACTATTCCTGTATTGCAGTTCAGATCTATTCATATTTCCTTCATATATATTTCCTTTATATATTTAGGTGCTCTAATGTTGGGTGCATATATATATATAATTGTTTTATCCTCTTGATGAACTGACCCCTTTTTCATTTTATAATGACTTCTTCCTCTCGTGTTAGTTTTGACTTAAAAACTATTTTATCTGATACAAGTATAGTTACCCCTGATCTCTTTCGGTTTTCATTTTCAAAGAATATCTTTTTGCCTCCCTTCACTTTCAGTCTGTGTGTGTCTTTAAACCAGCTGCCTCTTGCTTTGGTCCAGATGCATAGTGGTTGCCCAGCAACCGGAGGAGGAGGAGGAGGAGGTGGGGGGAAGGAGAGGAGGAGGAGGAGGAGGAGGAAAGAAGGGTTTTTCCAGGATGTCTTGTAAGCTCTTGGCCTGATGTTCGAGAATTTGGTTAACTCTAACCCGAACCCTAAGTCCCTGATGTAGCTGACTCTGCTGGCCCCTGGAAAGTCAGTTCTGAGGGGATCCCCACCCCGAGCTAACCAGAGGCCTCTGTCTTCCAGGGGACAGCTGTAGCAGTGGCCTGGGCAGGGGCCATGGTTCTCCAGAGGGATTCAAACTACCGGTATTACCAAGCACATGACCTTGGCTTTCGTCCTTGTGCTTGTCCTGCCCGTGCAGAATGTGCGGGGGCCGGACAGCTGGGAAGAGTGCCTGATCCTGGCCCTGCTGCCTGGGGCTGGAGGAGGGGTTGCATGGGAAAGAGAGGGTGGCAGGCCTTGGGGAGAGGGTCCCATAGGGTCCTGAGTCCCTCTTTGAATGTGCTGAGCTCCACTCACCCTTTCCACATCTGTTTTCTGAGTATCCCTTGTGTTCCAGGCACACGCTGGGCCCCAGGGTGACGGCAGTGAACAAGCTGACACGTTGCAGCTATCAAAGATGATGGTGACTGGCTGGGTGTGGTGGTGGCTCACGCCTATAATCCCAACACTTTGGGAGGCCGAGGCAAAAGGATCACTTGAGCCCAGGAGTTTGAAACCAGCCTGGGCAACATAGTAAGACCCCCATCTCTACAAAAAAAAAAAAAAAAAAAAAATGTTTTTTTTAAATAGCCAGGCAAGGTGGCCTGCATCTGGAATCCCAGTTACTCAGGAGACTGGGGTGGGAGGATTGCTCGATCTCAGGAGTTCAAGGCTGCAGTGAGCTATGATTGCACCACTGCACTCTAGCCTGGGCAACAGAGTAAGAACTCATCTCCAAAAAAAAAAAAAAGATGATGTTGATGTCACTGACGCCTCATGGAACATCTAGGTGGGACCATTTGTTATTCATTCAACAAACACTTATTGAGCACTGTCTATGTGCCCAGCACCAGACTGGGTGCTGGGGACAAGCAGTAAAGGAGTCAGTCCCACGTGTTCAGTGCCTAGTAGCATTGCAGACAAGAGAAGGAGCAAGTAATGAAGCAAGACATTCAGATGTGACTTTCTGCTGACAAGGAAAAAAAAAATTTAATTTGAAAAAAATTTGAAAAACAATTTTCAGATGAGGCTAACTGTCACCAATGCTGGTATGATTGGATGATTGGAAGAGATTAGGGGATGGATTGGATGCCTTTTTTTTTTTTTTTTTTGGAGACAGGGTCTTACTCTGTCACCCAGGCTGGAGTGCAGTGGTATGATCTCAGCTCACTGCAACCTCCACCTCCTGGGCGCAAGTGATTCTCCCACTTCAGCCTCCTAAGTATTACAGGCACGTACCACCATGCCCAGCTGGTGGATGCCTTTAAAGAGAGTGGCTTGAGGTAACAAGACCCTTATTAGGTTAAAATTCATTCCCACTTTATAGAGAAAGAACAATCACCTGAGGCCGAGAGAGGTTACATTGCTTGACCAAGTAACTTGACTAAGTTGCTTGTCTCTAAATAAATTAAGTAAATAAAAACAGGTGCCCAGTGATGCGTGGGGAGCTGGAGACAGAACACAGATAATACCACTCTCCAGGTGGCCCTCACAGTTAATGGGGACTTTTTTTTTTTTTTCAAGATAATGTCTCTGTTTTGTTTTTGGTTTGGGTTTCGGTTTTTTTGTTTTTTGTTTTGTTTTGTTTTTATTGTTGTTTTTTGAGACTGAGTCTCGCTCTGTTGCCAAGGCTGGAATGTGGTGGTGCGATCTTGGCTCACTGTAGCCTTCGCCTCCCAGGCTCAAGCAATTCTCCTGCCTCAGCCTCGCCAGTAGCTGGGATTACAGGCATCCACCACCACGCCCGGCTAATTTTTGTGTTTTTAGTAGAGATGGGTTTTCACCATGTTGGCCAGGCTGGTCTCAAACTCCTGACCTCAAGCGATCCGCCCACCTCAGCCTCCCAAAGTGCTGGGATTACAGGCATGAACCACTGTGCCTGGCGGAGATAATGTTTCTGTTGCTCAGGCTGGAGTGCTGTGGAGTGACCATGGCTCTCCGCAACCTTGACCTCTGGATTCAAGTGATCCCCCCGCCTCAGCCCCACAAGTATCTGGGATTACAGGCACACACCATCATGCCCGGCTAA